TGTTTATAATATAATTTTATGTAGATATCCGCATTTATTTAATATTTTTCTTCTGCAGGTTTTATTGAAAATGCAATCTTTAAAACCTGATGTGATAGACAAAAACTGATGCCAGATTCGGAATCAGCACCCCAAAATTACATTCAAAGCGTTGGAATACCTTGTCAAAAAAATTGTGTGGACCAGTGTTATCACGTTGCACCGCGCAAGTACTGTGTGTGATTGACGCAGCCTTGATTCCTCGCGAAGGGTATCTATTTGGTGTTTGAACATCTTAACACGTGTTATTGACTTTGATACCGGTAAAAATGTCGAATTTCTTTAGAACCTTGTTCTGTGTTGAGATTGTTGTCATCCCCCCGCACCTCTGATTCGCACCGTTGGCTAGGTGCTGTGCGAAAGAAGTTCAACATACATACCTGCAGAGGCGGCAGGAGCCACACTCATTGATCACACTTAACTAATTTTTTTTTATTCTATTTTACCAGGTAAGGGCCGCTGAGCTATATAGCTCGTTTTCAGAAGTGACCTGCCCACAAAAGATAGCTCAACGCAAAGTGGCGCATCGTGTGGAGATGCATTGCGGTCAATTGCTCTAAACGCGTGATGGATTTTAAACGTGGAGCGAAGAAAGCCGATGACCCCCCCAAAGAAAAATCCACGCGATCACGGGGAGAGCGAACACGCAAACTCCAAACGTACAGCGGGCGTCAGGGTCGGGATCTAACCTGGGCTGTTGTTCCACCAGAAAGTTGCATCATTCATCAGGAGACCATTCGTGGCTCCTGTACTCATTGGAGTCTATTTGGAACGCATTGCCAGACGGCAGTCGCGTACCCTGGAGATTCACTCCGACGCTTTGTGCGTCCGTGTGTGTGTGTGTCCTTCAGAGGTGCTCACGAACAGCTCTTGCCCCAACAATCTGTTAAGGCTACACGGGGGACCTTTGTCTTTGTATGCGTGTGTGTCCAGCACGCGATGGTGTAGAGAGCGGCAATGTAGCGGTTAGCCCGCTGCGTTTGGAAACCGGTTACCCCAATTCAATTCCCGCTCCTGGGCCAACGCCACTGACGGTTATATGAATCGGTACCGAGTCTCACCTAGGTCGACTCAGCCTCAAATGACAATGGCGGTCTTACGTGGTGTTGGCCACCAACCCCCTCGTTTGCCGTGCTGGCCTTCATAGGTGCCTGCTAACAGCAATTGCCCCAACAGCCTGCAAAGTCTACACGGGGTATATTTGTCATTGCAGTGACTTTACAAGTGGGAGTCGTTAAAGAGCGCACCTGATTTTAAAGTTATAAAGTTTCGTTTTTTCACGTTCAAACCACTTTTGAACAGTGAAGTTGCACGTGGCGTGGGAGCGCGTGTGCAAAGATTGTCAGGTCAACAGTGACGTGCTTCCAAGGTAGAGGTGTTTTTGGGTTAGATCGCATAAATGTGTCGTTAAACCCGCCACCACCCGACACAGCCAATTAGTAAAGTTTGTCACGTAAACAAAACGTGCAAATTCGTTACTAGTACAGCAACACCGGTGTTTTGGAGAGTAAACCCACGACATTTACAATTCGAGTACGACGTTTCGCCAGTAATTACAAGCAGCATCATCAGGCGACAGCCAGATTAGTGGAGATATCCTCCTGTTTCAGTCTTTAATAGAGGGACAAGTGCGATGTCGTCTCTTGTGAGCCGATCAGGTGCGAATGCCACAGAGGGGGAGGTGGGGATGCATATAACTTACAATGGGTATCCATTACCGGCTGGGTTATTTAACTGCCCTGACACAGGATTGTGGACATTTCAGCACCGCTCCAAAGTCACCGACGAAGGCTGCGATCAACTTCGATGTTGTCTTTAGTAAGGCGCCACAGTGTAAAGTGTGAACTCCGTCTACAAGTCAATTCATACATTTACTTGCCCTCGACATATCCTCAAGGATGTGACGTTGCCCGCTACATCACCCTACAAGATCGTTGGATTTTTACAAATGTTAATTTGTGTGATTATTTTTTTACAAACACGTCGTTTATTCTATTACGGAATCTACATTTTGTTAAGTGCAGAAACGTCCATTATTGTGCTGAACATATTTATTATTTGTGTAGTAGTTATGTGTTTGGCTCTCATCACCAACGTCCGATTAGCACGGTTGGCTACGTACGGTGCGAAAGATGTTCAACATTCACACGTCATCATCATCACGTCCATCATCACCACTATCATCATCATCATCGCCACCACTATCAGCAACATCAGCATCACCATCTCCATCATTAACACCATTTCCACGTTCACAACCAGCATTACCACCATCGTCACCGCCACTATTACAATCATCATCAAAAACAACAACAACAACAAAGACACAAATCCCCCGTATAGCCTAAACAGACTTTTGGAACAAGTGCTGATAGTGAGCACGACACACGATAGAGTGGGTGGCCAGCACCACGCCCGGCCGCCTTTGTCTCCCCAGTGGCGATGTTTAGACATCACTAACATCACCACCTCCATCATCATCACCATCTCCACCTTTACAACCACCATTACCACCACCATCATCACCACCTTCATAACCACCACCTCAATCATCAACACCAGTATCACCACCATCATCACCACCTTCATAACCACCACCTCAATCACCAACACCATTACCACCACCATCATCACCACCTTCATAACCACCACCTCAATCATCAACACCATTACCACCACCATCATCGCCACCTTCATAACCACCACCTCAATCATCAACACCATTACCACCACCATCATCACCACCTTCATAACCACCACCTCAATCATCAACACCATTACCACCACCATCATTGCCACCTTCATAACCACCACCTCAATCATCAACACCATTACCACCACCATCATCACCACCTTCATAACCACCACCTCAATCATCAACACCATTACCACCACCATCATCACCACCTTCATAACCACCACCTCAATCATCAACACCATTACCACCACCATCATCACCACCTTCATAACCACCATCTCAATCATCAACACCATTACCACCACCATCATAACCACCACCTCAATCATCAACACCATTACCACCACCATCATCACCACCTTCATAACCACCACCTCAATCATCAACACCATTACCACCACCATCATCACCACCTTCATAACCACCACCTCAATCATCAACACCATTACCACCACCATCATCGCCACCTTCATAACCACCACCTCAATCATCAACACCATTACCACCACCATCATCACCACCTTCATAACCACCACCTCAATCATCAACACCATTACCACCACCATCATCACCACCTTCATAACCACCACCTCAATCATCAACACCATTACCACCACCATCATCACCACCTTCATAACCACCACCTCAATCATCAACACCATTACCACCACCATCATCACCACCTTCATAACCACCACCTCAATCATCAACACCATTACCACCACCATCATCGCCACCTTCATAACCACCACCTCAATCATCAACACCATTACCACCACCATCATCACCACCTTCATAACCACCACCTCAATCATCAACACCATTACCACCACCATCATCACCACCTTCATAACCACCACCTCAATCATCAACACCATTACCACCATCATCACCACCTTCATAACCACCACCTCAATCATCAACACCATTACCACCACCATCATCACCACCTTCATAACCACCACCTCAATCATCAACACCATTATCACCACCATCATCACCACCTTCATAACCACCACCTCAATCATCAACACCATTACCACCACCATCATCACCACCTTCATAACCACCACCTCAATCATCAACACCATTACCACCACCATCATCACCACCTTCATAACCACCACCTCAATCATCAACACCATTACCACCACCATCATCGCCACCTTCATAACCACCACCTCAATCATCAACACCATTACCACCACCATCATCACCACCTTCATAACCACCACCTCAATCATCAACACCATTACCACCACCATCATCACCACCTTCATAACCACCACCTCAATCATCAACACCATTACCACCACCATCATCACCACCTTCATAACCACCACCTCAATCATCAACACCATTACCACCACCATCATCACCACCTTCATAACCACCACCTCAATCATCAACACCATTACCACCACCATCATCGCCACCTTCATAACCACCACCTCAATCATCAACACCATTACCACCACCATCATCACCACCTTCATAACCACCACCTCAATCATCAACACCATTACCACCACCATCATCACCACCTTCATAACCACCACCTCAATCATCAACACCATTACCACCACCATCATCACCACCTTCATAACCACCACCTCAATCATCAACACCATTACCACCACCATCATCACCACCTTCATAACCACCACCTCAATCATCAACACCATTATGACCACCATCAGCACCTCTAGCATCATCAGACGTTATCACCACAGACTCATCACCAACACCATTACTATCATCTGCACCATCACCACATTCAAATCCACAACCTGCATAATGTATGTATGTTGGATTTCTTTCGCACCGTACGTAGCCAGCCATCCATCATCACCATTACTACCATCAATCATCATCATCATCACACCACCATATTGAGACAATAGTCAGCACCTGGTCACAAGCATACGGTGTTTTTTATGAAAGCGACGATGTTGTTCTTTGTATTTAAAATGTTCTCTTGTGTGGTTGCTGTGTGTTGCTCCTCACCACCACCATCACCCCCACCACCATCACCACCACCATTATTAACATCACAACCATCATCAACCACGATAACCAACATCCACACCACCACCATCATCATCACCACCGTCATCACCATCAACACCCCGCATCCCCCACCATTATTAACATCACAATTATCATCACCCACTATAACCAACATCCACACCACCACCATCATCACCACCACCGTCATCACCATCATCACCATCAACACCCCCCCGCCCCCCCCCCCCCCAAGTCTCCCGCTTCGTTCACGGCGCCTCCACGAGCGTCTCCTCGGCCACGCCGGGTGATCCCGAGCGCGGTTCGGGGGTCCACGCGGGGGCCGGGGTCCCCTTCCTGCAGGCCGGGGTCCGCATGCGCAAGCGACGAGTCCTCTTCTCGCAGGGCCAGGTCTACGAACTGGAGCGCCGCTTCAAGCAGCAGAAGTACCTGTCGGCGCCCGAGCGCGAGCACCTGGCCAGCATGATCCACCTCACCCCGACGCAGGTCAAGATCTGGTTCCAGAACCACCGCTACAAGATGAAGCGCCAGACCAAGGAGAAGACGCCGGGCGCCCTCCGTCAGCCGACGGCGGACGGCGGCGAGGTGTCCCTGAGCCCGAGGACGATCGGAGGATCACCGGAGGACGTGAAGAAGGAGGCGAAGGCCGCGCAGGCGCAACTGGAGGCGGCGGCGGCGTCAGTCGGCAGCGAGGGGGCTGGCCACGCTTTGGCCGTGGAGAGGGGGATGTTCCCGTGCGCCAACTTCTCGGGACACTCCTCCAGCCAGCAGCAGCAGCAGCCTCAGCACCACCACCTGCAGATGTCCTCTCCGCCACACCAGGCGGCCGCTGCTTCTAGACTCCTGGCGGCGTCCCACGCCTGCGACTACGAGGGCCTCTTGCAGGCCACGGGCGGCGCTCTCTCGTGCGGCAGACTCTGGTGACTTGGAGCGCGGCGGTCTTCTTCGGTGCGGTGCCACTGAGACGACCCCTCCCTGCTCCTGACAATACACAAATACAATAATAAAAATAAAACACAATAAAATAATTCTCACGACGTTCTAGGTGACTTTACCGAAAGAACTAAGAAGATGAATTCCTGCAGTCACGAAAGCTTTAAATCGAAAAATACACAAATAGTGAAAACACCACCCCCCCCCCATCATTATCATCATGGTGCCGCTGTCAAAACCCCAATGGTGCTTGAAATGTTTGGTGACACTCACACGCTGACGATGAAGAACACCGCTCAGGCTCGCGGCCACGTGGCCTCACTCGTCCACCAAGGCCACGCCAGCGTGGCTCCGTGTCAGTCGAAACAACAACAACAACAACACTCCTCGTCCCCGCGATCCCACCATGGCCCACCTGTCCATCATCATCATCGTCGTCGTCGTCATAATCATCATCATCGTCGTGGTCGTAATAATCATCACCATCATCACCATCATCATCGTCGTAATAATCATCACCATCATCACCATCATCATCACCGTCGTAATAATCATCACCATCATCACCATCATCATCATCGTCGTAATAATCATCACCATCATCACCATCATCATCACCGTCGTAATAATCATCACCATCATCATCATCGTCGTAATAATCATCACCATCATCACCATCATCATCACCATCGTAATAATCATCACCATCATCACCATCATCATCATCGTCGTAATAATCATCACCATCATCACCATCATCATCACCGTCGTAATAATCATCACCATCATCACCATCATCATCATCGTCGTAATAATCATCACCATCATCACCATCATCATCGTCGTAATAATCATCACCATCATCACCATCATCATCACCGTCGTAATAATCATCACCATCATCACCATCATCATCATCGTCGTAATAATCATCACCATCATCACCATCATCATCATCGTCGTAATAATCATCACCATCATCACCATCATCATCACCGTCATCATCATCAACCGTTATCATTCCACTGCTGGACGAAGGCTTCCCTGTACTTCCCCAAAGCCGTCACCGATCATTTCCGCAGCTGTGCGATGCCGCGTGCCTTGCGACCCACGAGTCTCTGCACTCGGCGGCAGATTTCAATCGCCTTGTCTCAGTTTAAATGCAATTTAAGTACGCTGATTAGCTGCACGTTGCATGCGCGCCACGCGCCGGATGATTGGTACACCGTGGAGAGCGACCGCTACGTCTAGGGAACTCTTCTGATTCACAATGATCGATCTCTTGCTTGTCACGAGAGACACACAAAGACAAAGCCCCCCCCTCCTCCCCGTATAGCATTTAACAGACTGCTGGGGCACGTGCTGTTGACGAACATTAAGACCGACACGGTACACGAGTAGGTTGGGTGGCCACCACCACCACGCCCGACCGCCTTTGTCTCCCGCGAGTAAGGAATCCAGCTCGGCTCGCGGGGTTGATAGCGCAGTGCTTAGCGCACTTACCCCAACGGCCTGTTACAGGCTATCTGGGAGATATTTGTATTTATGTACCGCGAGTAACACACACAAAAAGGCGCACACACACGCGCGCAAGAGATCTGTGAATTTATTGAATCATATTCTCTTCGGAACATGGGACGCATGCAAACACACACACATACACTGACTCGGCGCTTGACGCGTCACGTGGGACTTGTTTAGCAATCATCATGTCCGTTCAGCGCGTGAACAACTTAATATTTGAGCGGGGAAACACACTGGCTGGTGAACGTGTAAAGGCGCACTGAGATGGGTCGCGAGGCCTGGAGTGTGGTAAACATTGCCCACCTCTGTGAATGTGCTGTCTGGTCTATGCTTATTAAGCGCATACACTCAATTGCATGTATGGTCAATATGAAATTCACCACCAATTGAATCTACGCTGGAAATCAAAATCACCACCCAGCGATCCTGAAGCTCAAGCAGTGTGCCATCTTAAATCGAGTCCGAACTGGACAAGGCAGACGTAATCACAATTCTCACCGCAAGTTTAGATGTCTCTGTGTGAGTTTGTGTAAGTCTGTGTGCGTATGTGGGTCTCTGTGTGAGTCTATTGGTCTCTGTGTGAGAATGTGTGTCTCTCTAAGTGTATGGGTCTCTATGTGAGTCTATGTGTCTCTATGAGTCTATGGGTCTCTGTGTGAGTATATGTGTATGTCTGAGTGTATGGGTCTCTGTGTGAGTCTATTGGTCTCTGTATGAGAATGTGTGTCTCTCTGAGTGTATGGGTCTCTATGTGAGTCTATGTGCCTATCTGAGTCTATGGGTCTCTGTGTGAGTATATGTGTCGATCTGAGTGTATGGGTCTCCTTGTGAGTATATGTGTATGTCTGAGTGTATGGGTCTCTGTGTGAGTCTATTGGTCTCTGTGTGAGTCTGTGTCTGTCTGAGTGTATGGGTCTCTGTGTGAGTCTATGTGCCTATCTGAGTGTATGGGTCTCCTTGTGAGTATATGTGTATGTCTGAGTGTATGGGTCTCTGTGTGAGTCTATTGGTCTCTGTGTGAGTCTGTGTCTGTCTGAGTGTATGGGTCTCTGTGTGAATCTATGTCTGTCTGCGTGTATGGGTCTATGTGTGAGTCTATGTCTGCGTGAGTCTATGGGTCTCTGTGTGAGTCTATGTGTCTGCCTAAGTCTATGAGTCTCTGTGTGAGTCTATGTGTCTGTCTGAGTGGATGAGTCTCTGTGTGAGTCTATGTGTCTGCCTGAGTGTATGGGTCTCTGTGTGAGTCTGTGTCTGTCTGAGTGTATGGGTCTCTATGTGAGTCTATGTGTCTATCTGAGTCTATGGGTCTCTGTGTGAGTCTATGTGTCTGCCTGAGTCAATAGGTGTCTGTGTGAGTCTGTGTCTGTCTGAGTGTATGGGTCTCTGTGTGAGTCTATGGATCTCTGTGTGAGTCTATTGGTCTCTGTGTGAGTCTATGTGTCTGTCCGAGTCAATGGGTCTCTATGTGAGTCTATGTGTCTGCCTGAGTCTATGGGTCTCTGTATGAACTCGTGTCCACTACAGTATGTGCGTTCTTGGAGAGTATGAGTCGTACAGACACTCTCCGTGCGCTGAAGCCCTCATCTGGATCTACAACTTCGACATTGATTCAAAGCAGCTACTCAACTCAGAACTCACTTCGACTCGCCGTTGCTTCTGTCTTTATGCCAGAACCTCGCAATAGTTGCACAGTCGACCTTCAAAGCCTGATATTTACACTTCTATCACCACCATCAACCACTACTACCATGATCTCCCCACCATCAGCCGATGTCATATCTTTCAGTTCAGAACAGTGTACGTCGCACACACCGCAGTATAGACATACTTATTGTCGGGCATGATATACGGTGAGTTTGGAATTCGTGTATGATAATTGTATAATATATGATAATTGTTCGTAGTGTGTAAGTGATGTTCATATATTGTCAAGAGCCAGTCCTTCTCAATGCAGTACTTTTTTTCTGACGACCCCACTTGTACGTGCAGTGTATAAGCACAGCGTGATCCATTCACAGATCTCCCACTAAAATAACAGGTAAATGTATTTATTCGCCGCACTGCTTTTTGTAAGTGCACAATAATAATAGTAGCAGCAGCAGCAGCATTGTTTCAAGACAAGCAAAACTCTGGACCGGTTTCCACGTGCAGTGTGTTGTCAGCAGAACTAGCCTTGTTGGTGCATGTATGTATAACTTCTTTCGCACCGTACGTCGTGCTAATCGGAGGTGCGGGGGAAAGGACAACAAACTAAACACAGAAAGCAGTATTAAAGAAATTCGTTTTTTTGTTCAATCTATATTTAAAAGTGCATAACGTCAATGGCGTCCCAATATCGGAAGGAAGAGCGTTCCAGACGGCCGCAGAAGCGTTCCAGACTGCCAATATGCCGTCTCAGTTTGACAAAAAAAAATACGGAAATATCATACAGAACTCCTCGTGTGTGATGTGAATGAAACATTGTCCGCTTAATTATTTTGCGCTCGTTATATTCTCCACAAACGACGCTGATAATTAATTTTAAGTTATGTAAAACAATATAATGGGGCAAAACATTCTGAAGAATGCAACGTCTTAATGCGACAGCCTCTCTCTACACGTTTGCCGATGATGCGACCACAGCTTTGCTCGTGGTCAGCACCCTGGAGTTGCCATCCCCAGGTCGCCTCTTCCATCTCCCAGGGTGCGGCAGATCTAAAACATCGACCAACGTTTGTTTTTAATTCCGCCGCCACTATCAGCCCAGGAATTATAAATGGGTAACAACACGTTCAGGCGGCGTGTGGCGGTGCAGCGTGTGGGTACTCCCATCCCTTGCGAGCAGTGGCGTAGTGACGACTTTTTAAATCCTTTATATTAAGTTCACTTGCTTGCTTGCATGCGCGCTTACGACCGTGCAAATCTTTCGGTCGTTTTTTAACCACTTCCCGTGATCCAATCGAGCTGACATTTTGCACACAGACTCGTTGTGCGTGACAATTTATTTTCGTGAAAAAAATTTTCCTAAATTTTCTACTTTTTAGGAAACAAAAATTTTAATATTTAATTTAAAATACCAATGTGATAAAAATGAAACTCTTGCTCAAGAAAAACAGAAATGAATAATAAAATAAAACTGATGCCACGCATATAAAGGATTTATAGCGAAAAACTTTGTTTTTACGGGTTAACTTTTTTTCAGCTCAGGTCGTGCGGCAATCGGTCAGGCGGGGCCCCCAATATTTGACGTCTCGCACCTCGAGGCTATTATACATCGCGGCTCCTCTTGCAAAATCACATCGGCGTCGTTACTCTCACGGTCTTGAACATTTAACGCTGTACGGGCGCTCGGTATTCGCAAACAAACAAAAAATAGTTGATTTGCATTGTTGTTGAAAATAAATCTCATTGTGGTTGTCGAGGTGGGCCCTCAACTCGTAGCTTTTGCCACCCCCCTGCTCACTACTGCTCGTGACGCTACTGGTAGAA